TCTTGTAATCTTGTAAAAAAAAAAAATATATATATATATATATATATATATATATATATATATATATATATATATATATGTATACATACACTTGAGGAGCTTTAAAGTGCTGTAAGTGATTTCAGTGCGTGAACCCCATTTCTCCAAAACCCCGCCCTCCAAAGACAACAGCCAATCCAGTGTCTGCAAACCCAGACTTGCAAAATGATTGACTGCCAGAGATTATTTCTGATTGGCTTAAAACTTCCAGATTCTTTTTTATTGTTCACAGGGCCTTTTGTTGCCATATAGATGTGTGTGATTTCTCAGGACACCTATTTCAGTGATATCTGCCAGGGACGTTTTATGAGCGATAATCACTTACTTTAATACCCGGTGTAAAACGCTATCAGTCTCAAATGGCAGTTTGTGATGGCATCACCCGAGACAAATGCTAATACAAGCGGTAAACAGAGCCCTTGTGTGCGAGTGTGTTATTGAAACGCTCTCTCTCTCTCTTTCTCAGGTGCTGTTTTTTCTGATGTTGGCCATGCCAGAGGCTTTGAGCAGGGAGGCAGTTGTGGACGTCCCACTGGCGTCATCTCTGCTCTCTCTGCCCTTTTACCTGCTGTGTTTGTTTGGCTCGGCCCTTCACGTGCTGGTCTGCACCTCCTCCGGGGGCCCCTGCTACCTCTGCTCTCTCCCTTGGGTCCTAGTGTTCACCGTCATCCTCTTGACCGCCGCCTTCACATGTGCTCTGGTTAGCATGGCAGCGAGGAGGATGCCGGTCAGCAACAAGACCCCTGCTAAGGTGAGTGAAAAGGTTTCTGCACCATGAGCATCACCAAATAACCATAACCACAACATTACTCTGAAATAAAGTGCAACAGGTTCTGGAAGTAAAAACACCATTCATTTTCCCCATGGGGAAATTGATTTTTTTGACGATAACTAATAAACCTTTAAAGACAGACCTGTTGTGAGCTCTGAGGTTGTTAATCAATAGTATATGCTCTTGTTGAAGCCGTTTTGTTGAAGCAAAATGTTTGTGAAATAATAACGTTTAATTGCAGAATTTGTGGTGAAAAACTACATTTCCCATGATGCTGTACAAAAAAAATCAACAAATCAAATATTTGCATCACCTGAAGAGCTCTGTCTACTCCAGTGAAGCAAAAAGTAAGAAACAAATCCATTGAGACTTTTAACTTCAAACCGTCGCTTTCAGCTAAAATATGAGACCATAATCCATAATAACGCTTCCTTCAGTGAAAAAGTCTGTGCCCTGTTGTTCTCTAACATCAAAATCCACTTACATCCTTGTTTAGAAATGTTTTACACCATTTTCACTTGTAAAAAGTGCTTGATCTGTGCATATTTCTCTCCTGATTCAGACGAGATGACTTTTTCACTGGAGAAAGCAGTGTTATGGATTATGGGCTTGTATTTTAGCCAGAAGCAGTGGTTAGAAGTATAGTGCTGTCAATCGATTAAAATTTTTAATCTAAGTAATCGCATATTAATCACACATCAAATCTGGGTGAGAAATTACCCACAAAAGTTCATTTAAAGCCATTATTGTGTTACATGAGAAAAGCATCAAATCACCATTGCAAAAATCAACATTGCTGATCTTTTCCTGTTTTTATGAAGCCCCTCCCTCAGAAATAGGCGATGGGCTCTGATTGGTTAGCTAGCCCAGTGTGTTGTGATATGCTAAACCGCCAATAACAATCATTGCGCGTCTAAACGTTCCGCCCCTCACCTCAGCGGCATGTGCTCTGGTTGTATTGTAAACAACAGTGTCATTAATATCGCTTATCAGTTTGAGCCCGATTGAGAAGCAGAGGATATTATTGAAGAGGATCGTGCAGAACCTGTGCAAGCACGGCTTTTAATGGTAGGCCTATGTTTTTTGTTTGTTGTTGTCTCATACTTTTAGATACGCTGTTATTTGTAAATTCTACTGCTTATGTTAACTTTTAATATACGGTTTTGTCCTGATTAAAACTGATGCACGCGCATGTATAACGCTTCTCATAGCTATGTGAAAATAAGTGTATAAATGGAACAGAACTGAGCTGATGATCTGAATGAGAGAGAGAGAGGCCGAGCAGGCGACGCGAGGAACAGTGTTAAGAACCACTGCTTTAGAACATTGATTTTGAATCTTGTGAATCCATTAGAATTGTTAGAAGACAGAATCGCGATTCATATATGAATAGATTTTTACGTGCACATCTAGTTTTCTCTTCCTCTTCTCTAAAGCAGCGCAGCATGGCCTCGCCCCCTTTGTTGCCTTTTCCCGAGGGCGGGGTTTATCTGGGTTTGTGATGTCACAAACCCGGGAAGTAACTCGTTGTAGTCCCTACCAGCTGTTTTTGTAGGCATTAAACTGCCAGAATTTAAAAAGACGATATCTCCGTTTGCATTGAACTTTCAGCTTCGTAACTTTGCAGATATTGTTTATGCTCAAACAGCAACATTACACACTAACTAACGTTAAAAAAGTGAAATCGCAATCAACCACCCCTTTAATTCGTTTTTTTTTTCAGATTTTTTATTAATATGTAAATATGAAATTATTTTTTAATGAAATTATTTTCTAAATAAGAAAATAAAAATGCCAGTTGTTGGCAGGAAATGTCTTAATGAATAAGTCATTAATTCAATCATTCATTTGATTCATTCATTTGATTCGTTCAAACTGCTGATTCATTCAGGAATGAAGTAAATGGTTCTCTTTATTAATGGACCATTGAATCATTGGTTCACCCGATTCATTCAAAAGGTGGATTCATTCAGAAATTGTGTATTGCTTGGAGACACACAACAGTTCTGCTGTGGCTTTAATAGGTAAAATTTGAGTTGGCAAAACTGATCAAAAACAGAAAATCTTGTCTAAACTATAACACAATATTAACTTCTTATTTATTGAACTGTTGTATAAAATCAATATCACATTTGCACTCGTGCTACTCGGAAGAGAGCAGACGGCTCTGCATGCTTTCAACTCGCTCTGACGTACATGGGGCGGGAAGTGTGCATTAATTGTGTTAAAAATTTGAATGCATAATTTTTTCCCATTACTAATTAATTAGATTAACGCATTAAATCGGCAGCCCTAGTTAGAAGTTATTAATGATTATTCCTGTCACCGTTGAAATAACCAGTGTCCAGTAAAGAAACCATGACCTAGAGAAACCGAATTAAAAAGGACCTTTTTACTATTTAGTGAAGAATCATTTGTTTCACAAAATGTTGCTCCTCGTCTTCCATTGGTGGGACAAACTGAATTTGACATGTCGGACCGCTCAAACAAACAAAGCAATGTTTTGCCATCGTGTTTACTGTCTTTACACTTTTCAGCGAAGTCAACCTGTGAATGTGTCTTGTCGTCGTCTTTGCACGTTAGGCTGTGATGGGAGAAAGTTTTGAACATCAGAAGCATCACACACAGCAGCTTAATGTCTCTGGAGTACCGAGCAGAGTTTCAAATTTTTCAATTTGCTCTAAACACCAAAAACAAATCCTGTTTGAAGTTTTATCCTTGACAGTTTATTTAAGGATGAGTAGAGAAGCTCCGTGGTTACTTTAGACTCAGGCTTTGCTGTAAACGCAGTGTCCTTTTACTTGTTTAAAGGTCAAGTGTGAACAGGATCTGTTGTCAAAAAATCAAATCAATTTGAGCGCAATTTAAACCCGGATGATTGTAACCACTCTAAGTTCTTCTGCCTTGGGAAAGCTAGCGTGTCTCCGACACAGTGATAATCCTCGTTGCCTTCTCTAGTGCAGCTCAACCAGGTCTCGTCCCATTCGTCGATATTTGTGATATCACAAATCCCGGAAAATATGCGTTGTAGTCCAAACGAGTCGTTCGTTGTAGTTTTTGAAAAGTGATTTCTGTTAAATAAAAAATCTCCTTTTGAATTGGACTTTGACCTTTGTAACTTTGCAGATCTTTTTTATGCTCAAACAGCAACATTACAGACTAACTAAAGTTGAAAAAGTGAAAAAGCATAATAGGACCCCTTTACACCAAGAAATGATGATGACGTTTCTTATATTCTCTGAAAATCTAGGGTGTTTTCAAACTTTTGGAGGGAACTGTAGAATGCCTTATGTAAGAGCCAATCTTAAGAAACATTTCTTTGTTAGTTTCAGATTGAGCTGCTGTTTTGGCCTCTATGATGAATGTGAGATGAGAATATGACCATCAGATCAGCCTACTCTTGCATCATGGGATAGAAATGTCTTTGTTAAACATCAGTGAAGTTTATAACGCTAATAGAGTCTCACAAAAACATTCGGGGTCTTATTTCATCCACAAAATTGTATGCAAATCTTTGAAAATCTGCCTTACAGAGTCTTCTGTCTTAATAATAAATAAAAAAACTCCTCTTAATAATGCATATCTGGTTTTGGCCTCCACACAGGCAAAGTGTTCATGGATAAAAAAAGAATTTGCTCCAGAGTTAATGAGATAAGAAGAGGACACCTCTTTTAATTACCTCTTTACAGGAAAGAAAGATCTCCCTCTCTCTCTGTTTCTGTGGCACGCAATAGAAAATTGCTGACAGTCAGATGTGAGAACAAACAGAATGATCATTAGAGAGAGAGAGAGAGCGGTGCAGCAGAGGAGAGGAGAAATAAGGCAAGGAAGTGACTGTAAGAGCCGAGTGAAAGTTTTGCAGTATCACTCCTCAATTCCCAGTCGAGTTCCTGTCACCTTCCACCTTCCAGACGGCTGTCTGTCATTTGAAGCATCAGTCGACTCGTGCTCAGTATTTAATGAGCAGGCTTTTGCTCCGGTTTCCGTCTCTGGTGGCAAGAGCTCAGTTTCATGCACTGGGAATATGTTGGGCTCTAAATTAAATGCTGGTTTTTAGGAGCATTAAGGTTGAGTAAAGAGAAATCGTTCGGCCTGAGGCGTCTTCAAGGGGCTGTATCATGGAAATCAGGATTTTCGGTGATTGTACTATGTACTATGTGTGCTAGAGAGTGACACACACTCGAGTACTCGAGCATAACAGTGATGATCATTCATGAAAACACACTAATGATTTATGTGATCGGTGATGATGGCATATTGGGGTTAGGACAGCGGTTTATCAGCTCATGCGTTCCCTGGCATCAAACCCTATAGGAAATAGGCTACAAAAACACATTAAATGAAACCTAAGCTGCAAAATGGCTCATTTAGACATTTTTGTGGTTGTGATCTGTAAACTTTATTACTCATTTAGAAAGTCTGATACTGTTTTTGGTGCAAGAGCCCATTTCTTTGGTTGGACAATAGTAGCACACAATTTTTGCAATGTCATGTTTTATAATAACAACAACAAAAAAACTTGGAGGGGGGAAAGGAAGCCCAAAAAATGTTGAAGTAAAAAATGTATTGGGGAAAAAAAAAAAATATATATATATTATATATATATTTATATATATTTGCAATTACTTTTTTTAATAAATATTGTGCCTCATTTTAAAATATTATTATCATTAACTTTTTAAAACATTTTTAACTTAAATTAAAAATAAAATATAAATATTAGATTAGATTAAAAACTAAAAACTTAATTACAAATGTTAATAATGTTAATAAATGAAGTAAGTTTGAAATACTAAAATTACTAACTGGAAATAAATAAAAATTGAACTAAAACGGAATAAAAAAATAAATTAATATTTAATTATTAGTAAGTAATATTTAAGTATTACTAATGTTTAAATAATATTTAAATAATAATTAATATTTAAATAATTAATAATTTTTTAAAGAACAAACTAATAAAAATGCGCGCGCACTTA